AGCGGCTGTTTTGTCATGTAATGGTCGGTTGAGAAGAATGGACAAAAAAAAAAACTAAGCAGCCCCTTCTGTAGTTGCGAGATAGACGTCGCCAGAAATCAGTCCATTTTGATAACAGAAAAAGGCATTGACGGATAATAAAACTTACAGAATACACATAGTCTATCATGGTGAATTGATCAGAAATACTTATAGCCTTCCTTTGGATCTTCAGCGGGTGTTCAGAAAATATTTTAGCTTTATATTACATTGTGCAAGAATGTCCCAAGATCTTGTCATTTCTTGTGCAAGAAACAACCTTTTCACGATCTTACTCAAGAAATGTATTTCTTGCCTTGTTGGCAAGAAAAAAGCAAAAAATTGAAGGGCCAGGATCGAGATTCGAACTCGCGATTTAGTGAGATAGTCTAGCTTATAATATTCAGAGTTCCACGCCTTACACCACTCGGCCATTCTTCCTCGGTATCTTCTTCTCTTTCACCATTCTGAATATGAGGCAATCTCAAACATTGAAAAAATAATTAGAGCTTATATCGCATCTTCGTTTATTTCATCTTCTTGATCTATTCAGTCATCGATATAGCGAAAATTCATTGTCCTAAACGGTTGTCCACGTCTAGCGCATGCAGTCGAAGGATGAACGAAATAAAGAATGAAAAGAAAAATTCTGAGCTTTACACCAAGATAAGTCATCCTTTGTGAATAACCGACTAGAAAAATGAATTTTCGGAATTCATAGAATACAGATGATTATTATGAAGAGTGTATTAGAGATATATTCGTGCTGTGGATATGAGGAAGAGACCTGCAGAAACTAGTTTAGATTCATATGAGATTATGAACGTTTTACAGTAGGTTTCTCTTGTGTTATATTTCAAAATCAGGAAAGGGCGAGCGTAATGCGTTGTTAATGTATAATTTGACTTAATAATGTATTAATTTATGATTAACATGTTATTAGTGTATACCACAGCTGTGCACACAGCACCGTGCTGTGTGCACAGCTGTGGTATACACTAATAACATGTGTAGTAACAGTGCAGGATGACAGAACAGGTCGAGAATAAGGCTTATTCTCGACCTGTTCTGTCATCCTGCACTGTGCGGTCCTATCCTACCTAAAAGAGTGACTCATAAAAAAAATTTCTTCCTGTGCTGCAGGATAAATACACTGTAAAGTAGAAAATAAGTTATAGAAAAAAAGAGGGATTTTCTAGGAGTGCCTATAGGCATTCGCTGGCGATTTTTGTTTTTTTAGAAAATGAGATTTTCTATAATTTAGATATTCGGCGCTCATTTTCCAAAAAATGTAGACGTATTTTCTGAGAAATCGATCGATTTCTAATAAAATACAGGTGGATTTTTTAGAAAATCGCTATTCGCACATTCGAAAAACTCCCACGATTTTCTGGAAAATCGGCATTGATTTTTCGAAAAATCGACACACATTTTCTGGCGACAGTATACACGAAACAGGGATCAAATCTTTACGAAAAAGGAACCTAATGCATCTATAATCATAATGACAAAGACTCATCATAAAGTTGAAAAAACCGGTCTATATTATCTGTGAACCGATAGCAATACGCTAGTAATGTAACACGCACAAAAACTGTAATAACTGTAGGCTCAGTTAGACTTACATTGTTCTTAACACTCTATAACGATACGTGAAGGTTATTATTCAATGTTGTAATTGAAATTCTTTAAAAAATCGTTTGCATGCCAAACCGGTTGGAAATGTTCGTTTGTCAAACGCCAAGCCGTTTAATACTTCAAGTGTTGATTGTAACTTCACAGGATACTGTATATTAAAAATTTCAAATGACCCAATTAAACTGGCCAATGATTCCAGGTGATTATCACTTGTAAATAATGTTTTATATTCTATTACTAATGAATAACGTTTGACGCCATTTGTTGTTTGCATTTGTAACATTGGAAATGCGTCTAACGGTTCCTAAATGGAAACAGAATGGTGGGATAGTGATCCTATTTCATTAGAGTGAAATCAACTTACATAATTCAACATTAATTTTTTCGATTCTTTAAATCTTTTCATGATAAAATCTAATACTATAAACGGCTCTTCAGCTAAAATATACGAAATCACATTTAATTACAGCTTCAGTAAAATCAGGGTTAAGTCATACTCCAATATTCATCAATATTTTCTTTTTGTGACTTCTCAGCTAAACACGCAGCTAATTTCTTACAATGTGACTTTAATCCATCGATAATACTTCCACCATACGGACCACAATGGGTATCGATTTCGCGTATACACTAAAGTAAAATACAGATAGAAAAATTATTTTGGTGCGGAACTGCTTAGTCTTTTAGCGAGCGTGAAAACTAATTCCCTAGGTCTTCTAAAGCAAAGGTGCGATGAATGTCGAAGTCTGGCTAATTGTATTACATTTTTCCTCAGCAATGAAACTTTTGAAACAGATAACATACTATTGATGGAATTCTCAATGCTGGATATGATTCAACTGTGTCTTCAAATGGTTTTACTTGACTAAGTAAATGCTGTCTGTGGGAATAAGTAAGATCCATTTTAGATTTGATATGTAACAAATCATAACTGGAATTATGAATCATAAAAGCCATATCTTGTGCTTGTTCTTCCAGTTTCATTGCACTTTCTAATGGCTGATTATTTTCTTCTGCTAAATAATTCTACAGAAGAAAGACAGTTTTTAAAAATATAGGGTAAGACCGAGTAGACCTTATCAGCCGTCTGTGAAAAGACGGACGTGACAAACTCACTCGACGGCTAACTAATTCCAGCTTCATAAATTTAAGTTTCCTTCCAGCCGAAGGGTGGCTATGTGTTAATCGGTTTTTCACTATTGCTTCTAAAGGCGTAGCCAAATGCTGTCTATCTCGACTAAATTGCTGTTTCAGAGCCGATGTGAGAAGAGCCTGGAACAGAAAAACAGAGGCAGATCAACAACAACGAGAAGAGTAGTCTTACCACTAACCATATCATCACCAAATATATGACATAACTGTAGATATTTAATTTTTACGGCTACAACCATACGATCAAATTCAGCTGGTGTTGGATAATAATCAGTTCCATATTTGTTTACTACATCATCTCTGATTGTTTTCACCAATTGTTGTTTTTTGGAACATCGAGGACCAAAGTCAACAGGTGTTGGTTGTTGAGCCGCAAGTTCGAATTGATGATCAAAGGTCGGCAACAAATATTGCAGAGGAAATTTTCGACGCGGTGATACGAATCTCGCTGCGAACCAGGCATTGTAAGTGAAGGCGAAACTGCAGAAAGATTTTGTTGTGTGGTGACAATTGCGAGTGACTGTTGTTGTATGGGAGAAGGACTGTAGACTGATGGATACGCTATGCTTCTCGAAGCTGTTGTTGATGTAGAGTTCGTATCGGATAAACCAAATTGTCGAAAAAATTCCTCCGATTCTGTATCATTTAAGTTTAAATTTATTACTTCACTAAAATATACCAAAATATAAATTTTTAGAAATATTAAAATGCAATGGTCTAGTTGGATAACGGGCAGTTTTCAAAAAAGAAGAGTAGTAAGCTCAAAAAAGCTCCGTTCATCAATTAGGGATAACTGCTAATGAAAAGACACTTGTTTTTTCCTTGTTGTTAGTTTTTTATGTGGAGTTTCTGCAGGAAAACTAGTTTCAAACATTTAGCTTTATTGTGGTTCTGCCCTCCACAACACAAAATGGAATTGGGCTCCAAATGAACAGAAAGGCTCACCTAGCAGCGGGTTGATGCACATTTTTCAACTCTCGTAATTTAGATTCGAAAATAATTTTAGCACCAATTGTTGATTTTTTAATAACACCATCAGTTTCAATTGGTAATAATTGTTCGATATTTTCAGCAGACAAGCCAAAGAGTACGCATCCATCAATTTCTTCGTCTGAAAAACACGAACGATCAATAGGAGATGTATAGGAGAGAACTAGCATTGCTTACCAGTGAATTTTTCAACAAATTTTGCCATATTATTTTCTGTTAACCATTTACTAATGTCATCGGTACTCCATTCCATTTTCGGACGACTGTTTTCTATCCAACAAGCAAATAACAAAACGCTCAAATGGCGTATATCTACAACAGAAAGTATTAGAAAGTAATGCAAACTCGACTAAAAGAAAAGAGCTAGAGAAAAGTGTACTAGAAAAACTAGAAGTAATGAGATCAGACATCAAAGTTCTCAACAGCACACCGTTTTACTAAAAACCATTTTTATTCAGTTACAGTCAGACAAAAAGGCAGGCGAACAAAATTTCTTCCATTAAAAGTATAACAATCTTCAGCTTTATGAGTTAAAAAGACAGATTTGTCAAGACTGTAACAAGATCACTCGGAATTATTTCATAACTCCACAAAGATCTTTCAAATATCACTGTTGTGAAACATTTAATAACAAATTAGTGATGAATTCTTCATAATTAAACGCATAATTGTCTCGTAGAGCATTTTGCACACAGTGCCGAAAGCTTGTCAGCTTTCGTCTTGAAAGCTTGTCAGCTTTCGTCTTGAAAGCTTGTCAGCTTTCGTCTTGAAAGCTTGTCAGCTTTCGTCTTGAAAGCTTCCGACTGATGCCAGAAGGTTTCAAAATATGTAGATTCATTAACTCGTAGCACTGACGAAGTTGCATTCGGCTTGAAATTGTTTTGCTTAGATTAATAAAATTGTTACATTGTTTGGAAATTTTCTTCAACAGACTGTGTTTCGCTTCGTACCTCAAATTCATCTGATGCTTCAATGGCCCAAACTTTGCAATATTACGAGCGATATGTAACAGAAAATGAAATTTGGGGATAAATTTATCAGGATAAATTGTCTGAAACAATCGTAAGAATTCACTTGTAGATTCTTCTAGATCTGGCAGCCAACTTCTTCGTGGAAAATCAGCATTGAAAATGTCCCAGATACCACAAAACAATTCATATAAATACCAGAAAGGTACTCGATGTATAATATCGAACAAACTGTATGGTAAAGTTAAAAATAAACAATATTTTTCCAAGGCTTTTCCTATAAAGAGAACCATAAGAATATTTTATAGAACGTCGAACAGGCTTTTTGTACAGAGTCGAGAATTCGATGGACAACTCTTTGGAAAAAATGCATGGGCAGAAGACGGATGAAAACAATTCTTTTTATGACTCTTAGAAATCAGAAAGTGGAGAGAGACGAAGGAGAAAAATCGTCCATCCCACCTCTTATTTTGCCGTACTGAACTTCGTAATTCTAACATACCTGGCACTCTTTGTTCAGTAATATCTGACGGTTTCAATGGCTGTTGCGACGATCATTTTTACCGTACTTAAAGTTATTTAATCTTGTACAAATTTTATCTGATGATAATAGACGAGTATTAGCAATAGTATATAATAGACTGCTAATCAATTTTGGCATAATTCCTTCTAAGACGTCATGCATAATGTCCGGTGGAAAACTAATAACGGGATGAAATTATGATAACACTGATAGAATAGATTCTTCATTCACGCCATAGAACTTTTTATCCGTAGGGACATCCTTCACTTGTTTAATTTGCAAATCATGCGATGCCATTGTTCTAATGATAACTTGCTTCTCGTTGTAAACATTTTTCATCTCTTTATATTTTATTAAACAATAACGACAGCAGCAGCCACGGTTAAACGAGCATATAAAGCCACTCAGTTCATGCGCTAAACGAGAAAAAGAAAAGAAATTAGAATTTTACCGTAGTTCATTTGAGATAGTAGGCCTAACGAAACCATTCTGAAGTGGTGAAAACGAGCATTCCAACCATTTTAACTCTCTCCTTAGGATGACCGCAATGTAAAAAGGCCCGAAACTCTGCTAAAACTCACCTGCTAAATTATCGCAACCAATTGTACTCAGTGTGAAATAGGTTGGATTTGAATCATTGGCTAATATCAGATCTTCCTCCTCCAATCACCGCAGATCTTCTGCTAATTTTTTAAATAATATATCACGATTAGCTCGGTTACGAAAGTCCGTGGCTGAGCACAATAATACAAGATGCACTGCGCTCATTGAAGATTTATGTTGTGGTGGTAAATTATCCACGGAAAAATAGAATAGCTGTTAATTTATGTAACGGGTGGCGCATAAATAATGAGCCTCTCCGTATTTTCTCAATAAATCGGCCTGCTTTCATCGCAGAGACTTAATTTTTTTTTAAAGGATTCGTTATTCAATTCTCTACAAAAACCTATTTTGCGTTTTAGATATACACGTCTAAAAATATTTTCAGATAATAAAAAGTCAAGACTTACAAAAAATAGTATTTTCTAAATACGAAAAAGGAGATGGTCCGACAAAAATATTTCGCGATTTAAACGGTGGTTTGTCTTTGGCAACAATCAAGCGGTGGTGCAAAATGATTCGGGATACCGGCACCATCCAGCTATCGTGCCCACCTGGTCGTTCACGTGTCGTTCGTACTTCAGCAGCAATTCAAAAAGTGAAAAGTCGATTAAGACGGAAAAAAAACGTGTCGGTTCGGAAATTGTCACGTGAATTAAATATTTCACGAAGAACTGTTGGACGAATACTCAAGAACGATCTGAAATGTCATCCATACAAGAAAATAATCGAACCAAAACTCACCGACAGCCACAAAGCCGAAACAAAAAAGTTTGCAAATTGGGTTCGAAACAATTTTCAGAAAGAATAAACCATGAAAATTCTTTTTTCGGATGAAAAGATTTTTGACATCAACGGTGTCTATAATTCTCAAAACGATCGAATATGGGCAGTAGATCGTGCTCAAGCTGATACAAAAGGTGGTAGAAAACAAGTGCAACAATTTCCACAAAAAGTTATGGTCTGGTTGGGAGCATGTTCAAAAGGCGTGACGCCGTTAGTGATTTTGGATCGGAAACCAAAACCAAAAAGCGATAAAGGGACAGTCGATCACGTTCGATATATACAAGAAGTGCTTCCGGTGGCTCTGGCATACGGAAATGAAGTATTTGGTGATCACTGGATGTTTCAACAAGACGGTGCGGGTGCCCACAAGCATCAGTTAACTCAAAATTGGTGTCGAGACCATTTTCCGTCGTTTATAACCGAAGATCGTTGGCCAGCAAATAGTCCCGATTTGAATCCATTAGATTATTCAATCTGGGATGAATTTGTTCACGCCATCAACTGGGGCAAAGTAACATCAAAAAAGACCTTAATTGAAGAATTAAAACGTGCAGTAAGAAAAATTAGACCAAAAATAGTTTTAGAAAGCTGTAATTCTTGGACTGTTCGTTTGTTGAATGTTTGTAAAAATGACGGAAATTATCTACGTTAATAAAAACACACGGTTTCGTTGCAAATTGAATAACGAATCCTTTAAAAAAAAAATTAAGTCTCTGCGATGAAAGCAGGCCGATTTATTGGGAAAATACGGAGAGGCTCATTATTTATGCGCCACCCGTTACAGAACTCCTTCCCATCAAAGGATTCACGATGCCTAAATCGTCTGAATAGAGTTGAAGAAGATAACAGTGTCTTTTTTTATTCAAAATATTTCTTTGCTGAGCGATTTCTCCATTTAGGTAATGATAGAGAATATCTTGGTCTTGAAATTCCATTATTTTTGCCGTTTCTAACTTCACAGAATCATAAAAATCTTCTTTTTGAAATAAACATTTTAACACTGCAGGTAATGGCACATAGTAAGCCTTGTCTCCCGATGGCAAACCAATTTCCATAGGTTTTATGTAACTATAATAAGCCTGGCAAGCATCGATGAATGAATTTTCATCTTTGGATATTTTAGTAAACATAACGTCAATCTACTGGTGGTACTCTCGTGCAGTGACGTCGTCGTTGTTTATACCAAGTTGTGGCAATAGACCATCACAGAATGTCTCTAACATCAGAGAAGTTGATAATGCAACTGTTTTCATTATTGCTCCTGCAACGACATGACCTTCTCTTAATTTTAATAAGAAACTGACGTAAAATTTTTGTATCTCGTCGAACAGATGATGTTTTTCCTCTGTTGGCGGCAGCTCTTGTTCCAAATCGTTAGAAGACGGTAAATCTAAATGGGTTTCGTACAGAAGAGGTAGACTAAGTGCATCTTCGCCTATTAAATTATTTTTTAAATGATGACGATAATGACGAACGAAAGATCTTAAGTTTGTATAAATAAATGCTAATTCACACAAAGGATATTGCGTAGAAAAATTTCGGTCGTTGCCGTGAACAATTCTGATGTGACGTAAAAATGAATAGTTGTTATCGATAGAGGCGGAGTATATAGTACAACGATCAGCGCTGATTGACATAAGAATTGTCTTCGTTATATCTGAAACACGGAAAAAAGAAAGCAATCGTTAATTTTGTCAGTAGAACAAGGAATTATTAATTTCTGCCTAAGACGTCCTTTATAAATAGCTATAGGGGGTGCTCCCGGACTCGAATGTATTCGCCTATATATATCAACGTGATTTGTATTTCTCTTCGACTTTAATGATATCAACAAAAACTGTACAACAAAAAACGTGTCGACTGTATGTGTGGAAAAAACGAATGTACACTTTAATCGGACGCACTGAATATATGACGAAAGCGGAGAAAAAGAAAACTGAAAAATATCGAAGACTCTCTCTGTCTGGATGTACGGTACGTATGGACGAACAAGCTGTGCATATTAATTCATTCTTGAATACAAAGAAAAATAAAACATATACTGCTTCAACGTCTTCGGAAAGGCGAATGTACAGTTGATGATCATGAATTACTGACGACACGAGTTATAGACCCAAATCACGATGTGAAATCTCTCGATACAGATGAATGGAAAAAGACACCAATCCTCATCTTCAGAAATGAATTACGAACTGAATTGAACATTCTAGCTATCGCGTCCGAAGCATTTCAAATGGATGTTAAACCGTTGGTATGCATTGCTCAAGACGAATTCAAAATTAACATCGACAATCCGGATTTTCACAAATACCTCCTAAAATCACCAGATAATAAAACAAAATGGCTACCTGGATACTTACTTTTAGTTCCGAATTAGTCTATGAGCAAGCGCATAACAACCTCAGCAACCTGGATACAACAAAGTTTCCAATACAATCCATCTACATCCAAAAACCATTGTATGCGCTAGTACAAATAGAGAATTCAAGAACAGACAAACTGTTTGATGCACTTCCTCCGAAACTCATACCAATTCCTCTTATAATACAAAAATTCATGCTGAATATCAAAGGTCTCCGAAACCTTTGATATTCAGCATGTAGATGGATTGTATTGGAAACTTTGTTGTATCCAGGTTGCTGAGGTTGTTATGCGCCTGCTCATAGACTAATTCGGAACTAAAAGTAAGTATCCAGGTAGCCATTTTGTTTTATTATCTGGTGATTTTAGGAGG